GAGTATTGAATTTTCTGCATGACCCAACCCAGAGATTGAACTTAGATGTTTTTACAATAATTTACTGGACCATGTGTATCTTAGACAATCCAATAGTGTTACGTTGGAGTTTGTCCATACTCAGCAGGTAGAATTTTTGTGTGCTATTTCTTCTTAATGAGAAGCTCCCAGAGAGTGTTTATCTCTATGCTCAGTCTACTGAGGAGCTGCTAAACATGTGCCAATTCATTGGGGGGGGGGGGGTTGTATCCGCCATTATTTCAGTCTCATTCCACAAGAGTTGATGACCACCCTTTTCCATCCATATATGTCCTTTTTTACTTTTGTATATGTACATGCACAGAGAATACACACACACATACACACACTCAAACACACACACACACACACATGATTTACTAAGGTTTCTCAAATACACAGGCTGATAGATATAATACACATTGCTTAATAAATAAAAAATGAGGAGTCTATTTAAAATACAGAGTATGGACTATAATAATATTTCAATTATATATATATATATATATATATATATATATATATGAATAAAACAAAAAGGAAAACTATATTAGCCAATGTGTTTCATCCTCTGAATGGCATTATCAAGGCAAATGCAAGGATTATATTTTGTAACAATTTTACACACACACACACACACACACACACACACACATATATATATATATATATATATATATATATATATATATATATATATATAAAAAAGATAAGAGGTACTGCAAATGTTTTTGGTTGTATTATGCTTTATTTGCCATAATTTTACTTAAAAGGCAGAGGTCTCAATGATATCTTCAGGTAAAATAAGAGATTCCATATATTATTAAAATAACTCTTCTTATATATATATATATATATATATATATATATATATATATATATATATATATATTATGAAATGGACAAAGTCCAACAATTATTTAAAGACATTTTTATGTTTTAACATTCTTTTTATAGATACAAGTATTTTAGTAAATGCATTTACTAAAATACTTGTATCTATAAAAAGAATGTTAAACATAAAAATGTCTTTAAATATATAGATAGATAGATAGATAGATAGATAGATAGATAGATAGATAGATATAAAAGGTGTATTTAAGTAGCAAAAATTTATTAAAAAAGTTTTCTTGATTCAGGTTTATCTATTAAACTTCTATTGTATATCAGGATTGAAGTCATGAATAAACTGTCTAGACTTCATGCTTTCTTAATTCACCTGATAATCCTTTACTACATTTTTCCAATTTCTGAATGAGATGCATATCAGGATTGAAATTGTGAATAAACATGAACTTTAGACAATTTATTTGTAATTTCAATCCCGAATTCCTTCAGAAATTGTAAAAATATAATCAAAATTAAATAAAAAGACTTTGGTTGTATTTAGCAAAACTTGTTTATACATGCACACACACACACACGCACACGCACACATACATGCACCCCCCACACACATATATATATATATATATATATATATAAACATGTTATATTTAGTGAGTACACATGTTTGAGAAGACAACCCTATTTTTTGCAAATTGTAAACTTTATGTCTACCAGCCTAGATATCATAAATCTTACTCTAGGCCAGTAGTCATAATGTTTATTGTTTAAAACACAGAGTTGTCTATGCAAACATGTGAAGCCACTAAATATAATTTAATAGTGATAAGAAATGATGTCAGATCAAAAGAAATCCATTATTTCCTTAAAAGAAATATATATATATGCATTCATGTATACATTTATACTTACATACACCTCACACAAAGACAAAAACAAACACACCCACATGCACATACTCACACACACACATATATATGTGCATACGTGTATTTATTTACATCTATGTATCTATTTATGTATGTATGCATCTCTCTGTCTCTGTCTCTGTCTCTGTCTCTCTCTCTGTCTCTGTCTCTCTCTCTCTCTCTATATATATATATATATATATATAAACACATGAAGATAAATTTAAATATGCACAAATATACCTTTTCATTTTCTCATGAAAACATATAAGTTTATATAGTCATATTTTATAGAATTTAACTGCTTTATATGTTAGAACTGTGTAGCGAAAAAAAACATATTTTAAATCAATTAATTTATAATATATATATATATATATATATATATATATATATGAACAATTTCTCAGAGTTAACCTGTAGAAAAAGACAATATTTATAAATGTAGAAGACAACAGTGGACGAAACACATCGGCTAATATTACAGTTTTCCTATTGTTGTCTTTATAAATTTATATAATATATATATATATATATATATATATATATATATATACACACACACATATATATATATATATATGAATGACAAAAAATAAAACTCAATATATATCCTTATTTTATATATATATATACAAAATTTTAGATATATATATAAATTTCAGATATATATATATATATATATATATATATATATATATATATATATATATATATATATATATATATATATATATATATATATATATATATATGTGTGTGTGTATATATAATATACAAAAAGAAAATATATATATTGTCCTTTTATATATATGTTATATCTGAAATTTTTCACATCATAAAATTTAGGATATAACTGAAAAATATATCTGTAAAAGGACAATATGAATAAAAAAACAAATTTTCTTTCTGCCTTTATTCATGTGTGTGTGTGTGTGTATGCATGTATGTATATACATACATACATTCATATCAAGTATGTGTGTATATGAATGTATGTACATCAAGTCGCATTGCTTTTGGCACAATTATAGCTTTTAATTTACTCATTAAAACAGGCATGTATATTTCATGACTAGATGTACACACAATTTTATTATCTTCATTCGTCCACATTTTTAAGCTATGAAAAATGTTAGTTTTATACTCCCACGTTAGTTTTATACTCCCATCGATGTGTACGGAATTAATCACACACACCATACATACAGATACTTGTAAAACAAGCGCACACCCACACTTTCCTAGCGATATGTTTCATACATTCTCACTCAACTGCACACAGTTACAGACTAAATGGAAAATACTTTGCCACCCACACGTTCTCTTCTTCTACAAGCAATTTCGCAAATACATTCTTGTACGTTAACTTTACACACTTTCTTACACATGAAGTCTTTTAATTTCATTCATAATTCTCTTTTAACACACTTTATGCCACATACGTGATTTTAAATGTATCGCCATACGCACACTATATTTAATGATAACATCATTATTTTTATTTTTTTCACTATTTGAAAGAAAAACAATAACAACTAAAAAAGAAAACACGAGTGACAATAAAGAAAAGAGTTATTGATGGTAGTGTTTTTTGGGGGAATAAAATGGCTCTGAAGATAATGACGCTGAAAGTAACAAATAAAAAAAAAGAAGAAAGAACGAAGGAAACTAAAAAAAGGACAACAACAGACGAAAAAGGCGACATAAGACAGAATACTTTAGAGAGCCATAATGAGGTTGGCATAATGAGGTAAAGAATGATAACAAAGTAACGAATGAAATAAAAAAAGAAGGAAAATAATGATATCAAGTGGTTAACTAATGATTCACGAATAAAACTACGGTGAAAAAATGTTAGTTAGAGTCTTTGTCTTTTCTTCTTTTTTTTTTTTTTCATTTTCCCTTCTTATTTATTTCGTCTTTTTTTTCTTCTTCTTTGTTCAGGTTGCTTTAATGAAGAGAAACTAATTTCCTTTCTTTCTATTTTTTGTCGTATCATTCTTTTTTCTTTTTCTTTTTTTTTACAATTTTATCATCTGTATTCCTTTTTTTCTTCTCTCTCTTTTTTTTCTTATCCTTTCTTGTCTTGTCTCTGTCTTTTCCTTCTTTTTTTTAATAAATCTTTGTTTTGTAATTTCTCTTTTGTGTTTTACAGCTGTGGTGAATTTTCTGTATATCAGGAAAAAAGTGTCATGTTAATAAAGAAAGAGAAGAGGGTGATGAAGGAAGATGTAGAAAAAAATAGTAGAAGAAGGAGAAAAATAATAGAGAGATGGAAAGGAATTAGCAAGAGAAGTAGTAGAAGAGAAAACATTAAAAAAAGAAAGAATAAGTGAAGAGGAAGAAAAAAGAAACGAGATAGAAGAGGAAATAGTGCAAAGAAGTAGAAGAGAATAAACAAAAGGAACAGGAGGAGGAATATAATAAAGAAAAGAATGAGAAAAAGGAAAGATAAAATTTGATGGAAGAAGAAGAAGAAGAAGAAGAAGAAGAAGAAGAAGAAGAAGAAGAAGAAGGAGGAGGAGGGGGAGAAGAAGAAGAAGAAGAAAGAAAAAGAAAATAAGAGGAAAAATTAAGAAAGAGTATAAAGAGAAAAGGGACAAATTACAAAATAAATACAAATATGATGAATAATGTTGAAAGAACAAGAAAAGAATGATTATTATTCATGATGATGATGATGATGATGATGAGTATTAATTGTACAAAGAACTACGAAGACATGTTAAAAGAAAGAAAAGAAAAAAGATACAGAAGAAAGGGTAGAGAAAGTGAAGGAGGAGAAGAAAAGAAAAGGAAGAAGCAGCCAAAGAAAACAGATTGACAGGAAAGAATAGAGAAAGTGATGGGGGAGTAGAAAGAAAAAAGAAGCAGTCAAAAAGAGAAAGAAAAACATAGGAGATAAAGTACAGAAAGTGGGAGAGGAGAAAAGGGATAAAGAAGAAGTAGTAAAAATAAAAAGAGAAAAGAAAAGGAGAAGACATTTTTGAGAAAGTGAAAGAAGATGAAAAAGAAAAGATAGAGAAAAAAGGGTAAAGGAAGTAAAGGAGAAGAAAGAAAAGGAAGATCAATTAAAGAGAAAAAAAAAAGAAAAGAATAGGGAAGACATGGTTGAGAAAGTGAAAAAGGATGAAAAAGAAAAAGAAGAGCCAAGCAAAAGAAAAAAGATAGAGAAGAAATGGTAGAGAAAGTGAGGAAGGATGAGAAATAGAAAAAAAAAAGACATCAGAAAAAGGAAAAATAGAAATGATTACAGAAAATGAAAAAAAGAGAAGAAAAAGCATTCAAGAAAAGAAGAAAGGAAAAAGAGAAGACATAATGGAGAACATGAAAGAGGAGGAAAAAGAAAAAGAAGAGACAGACAGAAGAAAAAGATAGAGAAGTAAAGGTAAAGAAAGTAAAGGAGGAGAAAGAAAAGTGAAAAGCAATCAAAGAGGAAAGAAAAGTGAAAAGACATGGTTGAGAAAGTGAAAAAGGAGGAAAAAGAAAAGAAATAAAAAAGACAGGGTAGAGAAATTTAAATAGGAGGAGAAAGAAAAGCAAAAGGTAAAAAAGATAGGATAGAGAAATTGAAAGAGGGGAGAAGGAAAGAAAGTGGTAAAGAAAACAGTAGAGAATTGAAAGAGGAGGAAAAGATAAGAAAGAGATAAAGAAGAGAGGGTAGAGAAATTGAAAGGGGAGGAGAAAGGAAAGAAAGAGGTAAAGAAGAAAGGATAAGAAACTGAAAGGGGGGATAAATAAAAGAAAGGTAAAGAAGATAGGGTAGAAATATTGAAAGAGGGGGAGAAAGGAAAGAAAGAGATAAAGAAGACAGAGAAATCGAAAGAGGAGAAGAAAGGAAAGAAAAGGTAAAGAAGAGAGGATAAGAAATTGAAATGGGAGGATAAAGAAAAGAAAGAGGAGAGGGTAGAGAAATTAAAAGTGTAGTAGAAAGAAAAGAAAGAGTTAAAGAGGAGAGGATAGAGAAATTTAAAGAGGAAGATAAAGAAAAGAAAGTGAAAGAGGAGGAGAAAGAAAAGAAAGAGATAAAGAAAGCAGCGTAAAGAAATTAAAAGAAGAGGTGAAAGAAAAGAAAGTCATAAAAAACAAAGTGTTTTCCATTTCTGAAGTGGATGGAAAATGATTGCAGTAGACATTAAAGAGGTAAAAAAAAATGATTTTTTTTTACTTCTAATTTCTCTTTATCGTTCCTTCAGTTACTTAAATTTATACTCAACAATCATAATACCTTCTAATTTAGCACTACTACTAATAATAATAATACCAGTATTATGATCATATAATTATATATATATATATATATATATATAAAACTTTATATATATATATATGTATATATATGAGAAGGTGCTGAAAAGTTTTCAGCCCAACACACTTCCCAAAATCTGACCAAACATTTTTTCGAATCGTTTTTACAGTACTCACTTGTGTCATTAATATTACTTCTAAGAAAATGTCCATCTTTTCATGTATCTAATTTACAGATTGTCACGATGACTACTCCCATTTGTCTCCATTATTTCGCCTTTCTTCAGAGTTATTCTAGGTGCTGTTCCTCTTCATGACGTCAGCAATCATAGCTCCCACAGCTTCCTATTCTTTGTAGCTCTTAGAAAAATTTTTTTTTTTTGGCCATCCCTTCCATTTCCTCTTCATTTACACATGCTTGTTAGGTAGGTTCTTCACTGTTTCCCTCTGTCACACTTGCTTTCAGTGAGTGTTAAATTTTTTAAGCCTTCTTTCCTCATTATGTGTCCTAGAAATTTCAACATGAGTAGTAACTGGTGGCTTTATAGTGGGGATAAAGTGACAGCAAATCTCCTCAAAGCCCCCATCATTTCCCTTAGTATCGTAGCTGTTTTTTCAGCAACATTGTTTTTTGGATGATCATGATTCTTCACCCGATTTTCAGAACATTTCCTAGTATTCCAGTAATTATTGGCACAACTGTCATTTTTATTCTTCACAATTTTTCTCATATTATTATTTGAATGCACGGTGTAATGGTTATCAGCTAAGAATGAGTAACTGGTCAAAGTTTGTTGCATTTATTTTCACACAGATACTCTTGGAAGTAGTATATGCCCATGTTTTCGCCTACTCCATTTATGGGTTAAATAGTAGAGCAGACTGAGTTTTAGAAGGTTACCAGTCTAGGAGAAGGTAAAACTCTGAATTCAAAACTGTATGTAGCCAACGAAAGGATCAGTGTTCATAATTATGCTATAATCCCGACAGTGGTTGATGTGATGAATGATACATGGGTTATAATTTACTTGTTGAACATTCACACTTGCAGTAACCAGCAATTTATACTGTACTAGCAGTAGAGCCCGGCGTTGCCCGGGGATGTAAGAGTAAGAGATAGATTAAGTATCGACCATCATAAAGACTGAAAAATAAAATTGACAAAGATTATTGTTTAAGGTTGACAGACACACATGTCTTAATTAGTTTGTTTTTTTGTTGTTTTTTGGGGGGTTTTTTACGAATTGGTCAAACCTAAACTGAAACAAAAACATTGTTTTCAATCGTTATGAGTCTACCAATTGAATAGAATTTTATTATAAACAATTGCCTTGTAAATGGAATTTTTAAAGCATTCTGAATGTAAAAATAAAGAAAACAGTGTGCAAGACAATAAGAAACACTACCTGCCAAAAAAAAAAGTGAAGTTTTGTTGAAATCGGTTGAAAAATGTAGGAAATCCGATCCCATTTATAAACGAACACAGACACACACACACAAACAACCTGAGTTTTATAATAAGTATAACTCGATATGAGTTGTCCCCCTTTCATTCTGGCGACAGAATCGTGTTTTATCATGTTTTCAAATTGATTTTGTGCAAAAACAATTGTGTTTTCCAATTTTTGGCGCTGTCAGAACCACCGCATGGTAATTTTACGTAGTCCTGTGAAGTTTTGTTGAAATCAGTTGAAAAATGTAGGAAATCCAATCCAATATATAAACGTACAGACACACACACACACACACACACACACACACAACCTGGGTTTTATAATAAGTATGATTTATATTAAGTATCTTTAATATTCCAGCACTCTTCTCAGTATGTTAGTTTGTATTTTTTTGTAATGCTGTTATCTGAATGGTTCTGATTCTTCCTTAAATTTCCAATTCTTTTTCAATTATTATTGAGGGCTCATCCCCATAATAACCAGAGGATTACACTGGAGATCATATGATAGACAAACCCTGAAAATAGTCCAATGCTCTTAGCATTCTAACCATTTTCAGTTATTAGGATAGACAAAGATACATTCCAAATGCTGGTCAGAGTATTAAGAAATAGAAAAATTTTGCTAGAAACAAAGAAAAGAGAACTGAACTGTTGCGTGATATCTGTCCTCCTGTATGACAGTGAATGCTGGACAATCTCCTCAAAGATGAAGCAGAGACTGGAAGAAAGAGAAATGTGGTTCTACAGATGGATGCTGAGGATACCATGGAATAAACATGTGAGCATTTACAAAGTTTCAGAGAAAATGAAAGCAAAAAGGAAACTTATACTTAACATTAAATTTCTAGGGCACAATGTAGTAAGAGTGCTTGGAAAATCTGATACTCACAGGACAGACTGAGAGACAAAGGAAAATAACTCATAACATACTTAATGAACTTAAGTAAACTGAGGGCGGATCAGAGTTTAGGAGAAATAACAGAAAGACAAAATTTATTAAGAGCTAAAAATCACAGGAAGCTGTGGAGAGCCATGATCGCCTACATTGTTTTAAATTCTCAAGAACAAAGAAAATATATAAATTCACTTTCATATGTTTAGGTTTTATTACAATTTTAATCATCGTTTTTTAAAACAATAAATATTGCTGAAGAGTGAAGGTAATTAAAAAAATGTGGTGTCATGGGAAAAAACAACCTTTTGACACTCCATCAAGTTAGACATTTTTTCCTGTCAAAAATCTATCTTACATATTTATAAGTTTAGCATTCATCCTTGCTTAGAATAATGCTGTCACATCTGGTCTGGTGCTCCTGCTATATAGAGAGTTTTGATAAAATCCAAAGAAGAATTAGCAATATTATTGTTCCTGATCTGGCATCTCGGCTTTAGTTACTTTCTCATCACCATAAAGTTGCTTCCTTGTGCCTTTTCTATAAATACTTTCATGGTAATTGTTCAGATGAACTTTCTTCTATGGTACCTAGACTTTGTGATTTTAAGATTGCCGGAAAAGTCTCATCATTTTACAATTGAATTGGCTAGATGTAACTGTAAGTTATATGCTAACAGTTTCTTTTATCACACTTCTCACTTGTGGAACTCTCTTCCAGCTCCATACTTTCCAGTCAACTCTAATCTTCAAAATTTATATGCAATGCCAATTGTTATGTTCTGGCTTCTTAGTTCTTGTTCTTTTATTGTCCTCTTTTCTTACTAGTGTTTTTTTTTTTATTCCTCATATTCTCAGTAACCATTGTGTGTTAGTGGTTTTCTTGCCTTGATTGGGATAAAATGATTAAAAAATAGATCAAAATATTTATTTGAAAACCAAACTGAATTATTTATTTTAAAACCAAAAGACAAATCTTCATTTTAACAATAAAAATGGTCTAAAAAAGTTATTGTTAAAACAAAGTAATGTAAAAATGTTGGTGAGTAAATTCTTAAACCATTAAATTATTAAATCATTAGATTTAAACCATTAGTTTTGAACCATTTGGTTTAAACCATTAGATTTAAACTATTTGATTTGAATCATTAGAATAAAACAATTAGATTTAAAACATTAGATTTGAACCATTAGATTTAAATGATTAGATTTAAACCATTAAACTCAAGTTTAGCTTGGCTTGTTTTGCTTTACTGCCTATCAACCCATTGGGTCATTTAATACCAAAATTTAATGTTTTTTTCTAAACAAAGCCTTGTATTTAAATAGTCATAAAAATTTATTTTAAAAAGTAAAACTCCTGTGAGTTATGTTTATTTTGTTAAATTATATTTTTGAAACCAGGTTTATATTTTTTTTAATGTAGCATTGATTGTCATTTTGCTATAACAATGTATTTTTGTTTATTTTATCAAAATGCAATGTTGATTTTTGTCAGGGAGTTCACTATTTGCCCATAGCTGGGACCCTAACAGGTGTTACCACCTCAAGTCTGGGTGGACCTGTGAACAACAGCAGTTAAGAGGTGGTTCCACACTCCTCAAAACCTCCAATCTTCTGATCAGAGGCCTTGCTGCCAGATGTAGTTTATTGTCATACCCTGTACAACATTAGATTTAAACTATTAGATTTAAACCATTATATTTTAAAAGTACACAATGAAGTAAATAACATTTTACATTGCAGATAAGACACAAGTTTACAAATACAGACCATAAAATCTACAGCATAAATTTAGCATCATATTCAGTGTCTAAAAACTGTTTAGTCTTCATAACAATGGAATTTTTATTTCTCTAGGGGTTTGTAAATTTTACAATCAGATGAAGAAGTCTGTCATGTGTCAGCGTAGTCTGAAATATCTCCTTCTGGGCCTTGGAAATAAGCCAAAATTGTTGCAGTTTAAAAAAGGAAAACTGATATTGAGATCAAAATACATCACCAATTCTCAGAGTTAACTTGTCTCAAAATGAAATTTTACCAAAAAGGAAATTTCTTTGAATCTGTATTTATTTGACCTTCCATGCAGACAATATATTAGAGAAGATTTAAACATTGGAATGCAATGGATATTCTTCTGGGTTAAAATCCGAAATCATTTAGTTCCATTTGCATGCATCAGAGCATGTCTATTGAATGTACCCCATTGGGGAAGTGCTGCCTAGGAGACAGATCTCCAGGAACCAGATATCCTGTAAGGAATGAAATGTTTCTCTTTTTGGTTTGCTGAATATTTTTTCAATCATATCACCACAAGCAATTTGATAAAGCCACTAAGACACAAGGGGCTATTGAGAGTGAAAGAAAATGAGAAAACATTAGTGAGAATTGATTGATTGGTTTGTTGTTTATGGTTTATCAACCTTTTGCAGGTTATTTAGAGCCAGAAAATATTTTTAGATTGTAAGAGTTTTTGTAGAAAATAATGATTCACTGATACAACTTCTACTATTTAACCCACAGCTGTAGGGAGAAATGGTGGATTTATACTTTTCCCAAAGATATTTGTACATAAGTGAATAAAACAAACGCAACTGGAATTGAGACCTGGCTCCCTGATTTCCAAATACCATTATCCATTACACCATCTGCACATCCAAGCTTACAGCACCTGGTATTCCCAAGCAGTCACCCATCTAGGTACTGACCAGGCATGATGATGCTTAATGCTGGCGATCGTACAGGAATCGGTGTTTCAAAATGATGTGGCTGTAAACCTATTAAACCCCTTGCACAGCCAAGTTTACAGCACCTGGTATTCCCAAGCGGTCACCCATCTAGGTACTGACCAGGATGTTAGTGAGGATAAAGGAAAATAAAAAAACAGGATTCAGAAAAACAAAAGATGCCAAATACTGAGCACTTTTTAACATTTGTCCAAGTTCTTAAAATGGTTGCTTTCTGACAAATCTCGTCATGGTCGATTTGTCAGGAAGATAACTTCTTGATGTTATCAGACTGGGAAGGTAATCACAGCATAGTGCACCTTTGGAAAGTGCCTGAAAACCAGACAATGTGTTAACCTAAGCCATGCAAGTAAAACTGGGTAAATGGAACTATTTGAGAGACATTGATTATTTTGTTAGCACACAGTCAACAGTTATCATGAATGAGGGTTTGAGCGTGCTGACCTTGTTCAGGCTGTTGATCATGCTAGATAATGCTCCCTTCTCAAAACTGTAATTGGGTGATGAACAAACACAAATATGCTTAAGCAACCATCTGCAATGCAGACTGGCTAGATGCCCTGTTGCCATTGGGTGTTGACATTAATGTCCACTTTTATATTTATATTTACATACATTTTATCGGTGATATTGAGCACTTTTAAAAATATGTTTTTATCATATTGTTGAAACTTGACTAATGCATGGAATAATAATGCAACACAAAATGTACTTAGAACAAAATGTATTGAAACAAGAAAGTGTACACAATATTTACATATAGTCTTTTGTATATTCCTGGTAAGACCGTTCCTGGAGAATGTGTTGACTGAGTCGCAGTCAGGCAGAGTCTCTGGTTGAATCTCTTGATTCCTTCCTCTCTTCCTGGTACCAACCATATTTATATGGTCGGTACTCCACTATGCAAATTAGGTGGATCCTACCACAACACACACACATATATATATATATATATATATATATATATATATAAAAAGGTAAAAAAATCTGTTGGTATATAATCTAAGTGGATCCTAGTAATATAAATTATTAAAACTACTCCACAAAAAGAGCTCAATGTATTTATTAATACAGAGCAGTATAATTAATAAACAACAAAATCCAAAATTACCTAATATAAGGAATAGCCTATTTTGTCAGGTGAAGATATCAGTCGTCTGTCTTATCAACCCTGGTGTGGACTGAGACACAAGGGATTACTAGGTGTGGAATAGTTAGAAACGGTAACAATTGCTAGGGACCAAGAACAGAGGAAGAGTAATCAGGACGAGAGCAGATAGCAATTAAAATTGCATTTAAATTTTTGCAGTTTAAAGTTGGCTGGAAAGCATGAAGTCAAAAGAAAGTTCCACAAGTGAGAAGTGTGATAGATATGAAAGATAGTTTCTAGAAAGAAAAAAATCATCTCGCATGATACAGTGAACCAACCTATCTAGCAGCTGAACTAGCAATGGATTATAGCCTTTCCACTTCATATCAGCTGAGAATTTTAGCCCAAGAAGGCAGAGTGAGTTGTTTACCTGAAGGTTAGCATCAGCCATGCTGATGGAAGGCAGAGAGGGGCCCCCTCAGATGATTAATAGAGAGCAGTTTAATTTGGTCAGACTTTGTGAAATAGGTTGAGCCAAGAATTTTTCAGTGGCCCTCTTGTTCAAACTAGGATTGTAATTCACCGAAAAAAGGAATATCACCAAGAGTTTAACCAATCAATTGAACTTTTACCATACTTCTGATTTTCTTTCAACAATCAATAAGATTAACTTCACACCTCGGGGGGGGAAACCCTTATCTTAACGCTTGTTGACCCTACTATACTGACCCCTGCCTGCACCTTTAACACAACTGCTTTTCTAATTTCACTTTCATCAAAATATGACCCTTACCAACCATAAACCTTGTACTCTTGGGAGAGACCCAGAACTGGCAAATCTGACCTTCCTCATTTCATTCCTGTTATTCTTTTTTTTTTCTTCTTTTTTGGATTCTATTTTATCTGGGTTAATTAGGTTATATTCTTGGATACTTCAGTAAAGTCCCCATTGAATTGAGCAGAGAACTTCTGTTTTCATATATATATATATATATATATATATATATATATATATAGGAAATGGATTAAATTAGACAGATATTTAATTTATTTTTTAAACATTATTTTATAAAATGATACTCATATATCAGCAGATGCTCTGTTTTTATTTATTTATTAACAAATATATTTATTTATTTACATCTACTGGCCAAAATATTCAAGAATTGTTAGAAAAATATGCAAACTGCTTAAAAAATGAATTAATATATATGTGTGTGTGTGTGTGTGTGTGTGTGTGTGTGTGTGTGTGTGTGTGTGTGTGTGTGTGTGTGTGTGTATATATATATATATATATATATATATATATATATATATATTAAAAAGAAGAGAGAAACTGCCAACATTTTTGGTTGTATTGTGGATTCATTTTAAAAAAATATTATGCTTTATTTTCCATAATTTTGCTACACAGGTTTCCATTCTTGTGACCATCATCAGGCAAAGGGTGGAGATTTTCACATATTATTAAAAATAATTAATTTTTTTTCTTTATGTTTTTCAATGTTAAATATTCTTGATATAAGACATTCTCTTTTTTTGTGTTAGTGACCTGGCAGTGAAAAGTTATACATGAAGGGTTATAAAACAATTAAGATTGGTCCGAAAAATGGTGAAGTAGTTATCGGCATTCTTATCTTTTAATGATCCCTGTATGTTCTTAGATCTATTTCCATTTTGTGTGTTTTTTTGACACATGCGTGTATATATGTGTATATTCCCTCTCCATACATACAGACTGTCTCACTACGAGGAATTAGTAAACACACACACACACACACACACACACACACACACACACACATATATATATATATATATATATATATATATATATAGTCATCTACAGACAGTCTGTTTTGCTGTATCACAGCTTGTCAGTGTGGCTAGACATCTGATTGCTTCAAGTCATGATCGAAACTTGACCAATGTATATATATATATGCTGTTTATGTCATTTGGGATAAAATGGGTTAAATATATAGATTACATGAAAAACATTATTCACTTTAATGATTACATATAGGGTAAGATAACCAATGCTAAAAGCATATATAGAAAATTTATCACTCCAATGATTCATTTGTTCTAATGATTACATGTAGGGTGTGATAACAAAAAAAAAAGCTGAAAATAGAGAGCCTGAAGAGAGTTCCACAAGTAAAAAATACTTGAAAAGAAACTGTTAGCATAGAACTTAGTGTTACATCTGTCCAGCTCAACTGTAAATTCGTGAGACCTTGGCACCAGACTAGTACTGTGCTTAAATTTAAAGAGTCTAGGTACCATAACAGAGAACTCGCCTGAACAATTACCATGAAAGTATTTATAGAAAAGGCAAATGAAACAACCATACAGCAGTGGGAAACTGACTAAAGCTGAGATGCCAGGTAAGGGCCAATAATATTGCTAATTCTTCTTTAGATTTTATCAAGGATCTCTTGATAAATAGCTAGAACACCAGACCATATCTGGCAGCAATATTCTAATCTAGCTAATTCAGTTGTGAATTGAGGAGACCTTGCTGCCAATCTAGTACTGCACTTAAATTCATAAAGTCTAGGTACCATAGCGAAGAGGCATGGTGGAGTAATGGATAGCGACTCAGACTAAGTAATCAGAGAATCGAGTTCAAATTCCAGTTGAATCCATTACATTCATTTACATGCTAATACCCTTGGGAAAGGTATGAATCCTCTTCTTAACTCCCCCCCAGCTATGGGCAAATAGCAGGACAGCCTTGGATGGTCTACTGCAGAAAGAAATGGTAACCTACTGCGGAAAAAATCTGCCTCGTCAGTCATGTATCGAAAGGAGGACCAAACCATATGTGGCTGCTATGTTCAAAGCTTGGATGAATGTTAGACTTATAGATATGAAAGATAGACTTGAACCAGTGAACCACCAAATGATTTTTTTACTAAATGTTCATTCAGTATGAGACCCAAGAGCCACTCCAGGTAGAAGGTTACTGAATGAGATTGTTGTATGGATGGAAGAGGAGGGTGTAAGTGCAGATTACGATGATATGTAGGATGGAAAAACAGTTGACCCTAGAATTGAAGATTTTAAGATTGTTGTGATCAAGGAAGAATCCTCTCAGAAGTCTGTTCCATAAAGCAGTAGTTCTTCGGGAAGAAGCCATCTGTGTGAGACTTCTTTCTTACTCCAAACAGAGGGAGGGTGATCTGATCCTGAGTACGTGACATAGTAGGTAATTAGTTGTAAAGTTCTGAACTGGTGGAACTAAGAAATGTAGCTCATCTTAATATTTACCATTGCTATAATTTTAGTAGGAAGTAAATTTTTACAGAACTTTTTTTTTTAATCAGTTCACCCCAAGCAAGGAGATAATGCCACTAAGATGCAGGGGGAGGGAGCTACTGGAAGTGAAAGAAAAGGAAAAGACTTTAGAAGGAACCAGAAATCCAGTCTTAAACAGGAAATAAGGGATAATCTCTACTCCTGTTCAAAAGACCGGGAGGAGTGTGAACTGGGCGATAGGTGAATCTATTGAGAGAAAATTAAATGAATAAATAGTGAATAAAATTTCAGTGTTTATGTGGAGACATTAGAAGTATAGAGTTGAAGTAGACTTTAAAAAGAACCAGAAATCTAATCTTAAACAGGCAACAAAAGATAAACCTTTCCTCCTGTTCAAAAATTCAGATAGGAGTGTGATCTAGACAATAGGTGAATCTATCTACTCCTGTCATGGAAAAAATAAATAGTAAATAAAATTTCAGATTTTAGGCAGAGATGTTCAGAGTATAGATTTGAAGTAGAATTTAGAAGGAAACGGAAAACCCAATCCTAGGATTGGGTTTCAGGTTCCTTCTAACGTCTACTTTTGTCATGACATCATATGTATTCGGATATGTGCCTGGAAAGGGTATTGGGCAACCACTATGTGCCCCTGTGGATCAGTTGTGTTAC